TAGAGGTGAGTATTCCAAGGTCCTTTACAGAGCTTGGGTCATCAACAGTCTTTAGAGATACCCTTCTAAATGTGGAAAGGGACAGCAAAGGAAAATCAGAATAAAGAATGCAGGTGCAACCTCGGGATATTGGATACTCCATGAGCAACAGAGGAAATCTCTGGAGGAATGAAGAAGGACAATTTGTTTCAAACACTGTAATGAGATGTAATCAGAAACACTGGTATTGAATACAGGTGGTAGGAGAATTGTAAATGAGATGAGGCAGCCTTCCTATGAAAAGCATAATGTCCCCACAGGCTGCAGAAAAACAGCTCATGTTTGCAGTCTTATTTATTTATTAAATTTGTTTAGCGCCCATCTCACCCTAAGCGAGTCTTATAACCAGACTCACCAGCCTTACAACAATTCCAGTAATGTTAGGGGCTCAATATGCCAAGAGAAGGCGGAACACGCATTGGGTTAGAGGGGAGATACAGAATGACCTCTGCCTCAAATGGATCTACTGCTACTGATGACAAATTAAGACAGCTGTCTGGAAATGCTGGCTGATTGTGCACTACTGTGACTTCCAACCTTGAGCATCCTTCAGCATAGCTGATGTAGAGAGCGAAGAAGAATGACCTTGTTGGAGAAAGAGGAGGTCTGTTGCCAAAGCATTGAGGAAAGAAACATTGCCTAAGTCCAAACAATGGAATGCAAAAATGTTTCGGACCTCTCTAATCCACGTAGTTAGTATAAAAGGGAAGACGATAAACTATAATCAGATTGGCAAGATGCTCCTACTGCAGCCAATCTTAATCAAAGTAGTTCACATCTTAAAATTGTTGGTTTCTTGGTTTTTTTGGACTGATCTACAACTCGGGGCTTAACAGGTTTAGATCTATTTGTCTTTCAGCAACTCAAGATCAGTAGGCTTAGTGAGAAAGTAGTTGACTTTCTATGCCCATTGAGAAATCACAATCTGAAGCTACTTGTTATAAAAAAAGGAGTTTTCAAATTAAAAATGTTTTCCAGCTAAAAGGTAGATCCCTCTAGGCAGGGATTTCAAACTGGTGGCCCGCAGGCCAGATGCATCATGCACAGGCCATGCCCACCCCAGCTCCGCAAAGGGGAAAAACATCGCGAAACGTCCCATGAAAGCAACGTGACATGGCAAGTTTGACACCCGTGCTCTAGAATGTCTTGACAGAAGTTTACATGGAAGAGAAGCACAGAACTATGGACTTCTTATTTATATGCTCAGATTTACATGCTCTTTCTCTCTTTCACTCTCTCACACACACATGCACGCACATACTGGTACACACATTGCCAAGAAAATGTTGAGTTTGACACCCCCAAAGGAAATCTAACCTTTTTGAAAAACACACATAAAAAAAAATCTTTGCACTTCTACAAAGGATAAAAGTAAAAAGCACATGAAAATTTGTTGTAGACTCACTTGTTATAAAGAGGTACCCTTCTCATAGTGTTGAGTAACTTTGAACTGTCTGCATCAAAGTCTACATTTTTATTATTGTTGTTGCCACTATGGTAACCAACAAATGATTATTTTCCATTCTGTTCCTAAGCTGAATAAGTAAAACAAAAATCCCCCGGAAGCCCTTTTTAAATATCAAAGATAAGACTATAAGCACAAAATATGCAAAGGTAAATTGGATTTGTGCTATCTTTGTTCATGTTAAAATGCCATTCTTTTCCTACTTTTGATATACACTAAGGATTATATGTTAAGGATTCTGAGGCTATTATCGAATGTCAAGACTTCTGAGAGTTTATCATTGAATGCTATTTAAATGAAGCAAGGTTTTTAAGACCACTATAGCCTACTAAAAAATAGACATAGGCTATAGGACTGCAGAAGGAGGAGGAGGAGGAGGAGAGGAAGAGGAAGTAAAGGAAGAAGAAGAAGGAGGAGGAGGAAGAGGAGGAAGAGGAAGAAGAAAACCTTGCATGGTCATCTAACTTACTAAATATTATGGGTGCCAGAAAAGTATGCATTTGGAAAATAAAAGAAAGATACCGGTAATACTTAAACACCACAACACAAGCTAGGTCAGTTCCACAAAAGTAATGACCAATGAATTCAGACAGCCACCTGTTTGGTGTACTGACTATTTGAAATATCTTTCATTGCACAGCATTGATTAGGAGGACAAAGCTCTAACCAATAATCTGGAATATTCCAACATGCGTTGAACTGAATACATGTAGTCCTTGATTTACGACCTCAATGAAGCCCATTTTTTTGTTGCTTAAATGAAACATTTGTGAAGTGAACTTTGCCCCATTTTATGTCCTTTCCTGCCACAGATATTAAGTGAGTCACCGCAGCTGTTAAATTAGTAACATGGTTGTTAAGTGAATCCGGCTTCCCCATTGACTTTGCTTGTCAGAAGGTTGCCAAAGGGGATCACATGACCCCAGAACACAGCAACTGAACCGGTTGCCAAGCACCTGAAGTTTGATCACGTGACTGTGGGGATACTGAAACTTAAGTGTGAAAAATGGTCATAAGTCTTCTCATCCATTTTGGATGAAATTTTACTGGAGATTTAGATTGTATCTTGGATTACTCACTGTCCAACCATTGATTCTTTCTTCCATTAAAAAGTGTATTTAAAAGACAGAGTTAGCTCCATGATGCTTTTAGAATACCATCTCCCAGAATATCTCCAACCACAGCTCAGAACTGGGTCATATAATCCAGGGAAAATATACATCTGCTTTAAAGAGCTGAAGACAGGAACTTTCTTACGTTCTTACCCCTATCTAATATGACGTGCCTTTTTGGAATGAGCTGCAAAGTGCTGCAAAACCTTATTTATAATTCCAATTAAAACGACACAAATATGTGCAACCATGAGTCAATCTTGTAGTTTGTATATTTTTCATATATCAAAATGTTTTCTGTTCTTTTTCATTAAATATACAGATATGTATGTGAATATGCATATATGTTTGTGTGTGTGTGTATGTGTGTATTCCAAAAATGAACCATCTTCTCAAATGGTTTATTTCCATTCAATTTCAATGTCCCAAAACTTCAGCCTTCCTTTCCTTACAGACTTATTCTTCGATTTCAATCAAACGTTTATTGTCAGTGCATAACATGTGTACAATGAAATTGAAAATTTATTATGTGATCAGCAAAGAATTTGATTAAAAACTAAAGTTAGGCTAATATTGAGTGCTTTTATTTTTGAAAAAATATTCACTAGCTTTCTCTTATTCATGGTTTTTACTATCTAAGAAATAGCAAAGATCATGTGTTATCCTCAGTGGTGGAATTCAACTTTTTTTTTACTACTGGTTCTGTGAGCATGACTTGGTGGGCGTGGCAGGGGAAGGATACTGTAAAATCTCCAGTCAGAGGTGGTATTTGCTGGTCTCTGAACTACTCAAAATTTCCACTACCGGTTCTCCAGAACTGGTCAGAATCTGCTGAATGCCACCTCTGCTTATCCTGGGATTTAAGCACACGTACTGTATGCCTATTAAAAGGAAACAATTTTAGGGGACACGTCATTGCCTGAACAAGACAGGATTGTTTCCTTGGAGATTGATTAACTGAGCCCAGTGTGTAATTTGCAATCTCGAGTGTTTGAAAACCTTTCCTCAATTTTTGTAGCTACAAGCAGTTTACTGAATTCCTCATGGCTTTGGGTGTACATGACTCCTTCCTCTGCTGGTTTCTCTTTCCACATTTAGGACTTTAAAGCTATTATCAAGAGAAAATGCCTCAAGGATTCCTTATCAAGAATAAAGTGTTTAGAAAATATACTTTTCAGGAAACAAACACATGAAAGATGAATGTGATAAAGAATATCCGCTTCAAAGCGTCAAGTTGATCACAAAGGACAAAACAAAGGAATTTCTTACCTTGCGGGTTAATCTTCTCTTGATCTCTCGTTTTTCTTCCTGTTCCTCTTGTTCATTCCGTGCTAGAAAAGATTGACAAAATTCTAAATTTTCATGCATTAAAAAAAAAATGCTGAAGGATGATTAGTGTTCCTTGCTCATTTGGATATACATTTCTGTGTGTCTTAAAAATACTCAAATTCTTTAGTCTCTAATTGGGGGCCACCCCGAGTTAGTCATAAGATGGGCGGCTATAGAAATGATTTATATAAATACATAAATAAATAGTTATATGTTAGCGTGCATTTGACTTATTAACATGACTTTGAGACAGCAATCATGTACAATGCCAAGATACTGTCAATCTCTGCAATTCGAGATTTAGATAAAAGTATAGAATAATTGTGACAGGGCAAAGCTTTGCTGGCTGAGGAATTCTGGGAGTTGAAGTCCACAAGTCTTGAAGATGCCAAGGTTGGAGACCCCTGACTTAGATGGTTACTGTTTGGTTATAGATTGTTGTAGCCAAATAACCACTGAAAGATTGCAGCAGGCTTGGATAGTGGGATTCAAAAAAATTGATGACCAGTTCTGTGGGCGTGGCAGGGGAAGGATACTGTAAAATCTCCAGTCAGAGGTGGTATTTGCCGGTTCTCCGAACTACTCAAAATTTCCACTACTGGTTCTCCAGAACTGGTCAGAACCTGCTGAATGCCACCTCTGATAGTGATCAAGCTTTGAAAAGGAGCTGCAAAGAACCACATATTTGTTCCCAAAAGTGCTTTCCCAAAAGGCAACTGGGCTTTATTGGGTATTTTGTTTCCACTTTAAAATATTTTGCTTCTCACCCAAGAAGCTTCTTCAGTTTTGAACTGAAAAAAACAACAACAACCCTGAAGAAGCTTCTTGGATGAGAAGCAAAACATTTTCAAGGGGTAAAAAAACACCAAGAAAGTCCAGTGGCCTTTTGAAAAAAGCACCTTTGGGACAACTATGACCTGGATGATTGAGAATCTCCACAGACCAGAGTTCCCCAATGTTTCTGGCTTTGGTGAAAGGGGAGGGGATGGTTCATGCAAATGGAGCATGTGTGCACACACTCGCCCATTACTCACAGAAATGAGGATGTGCATGCATGCTTTCACCAGCCATTTTCCACAGCCTAGTTGCAAGCCCCTCACGGCCCATAGGCATGGCCCATAGGCTGGGGACCTCTGCCACAGAATTGTGAACTAGAGTCATGTATGTGAGAAGGGTGGCTATATAAATTGAAATTAATAATAATCATAATAATTGTAACTAGCTAAGACATGTAAAGATGCATCTTTGATCTCACTGTTTGTAATCTCTATTACAAACAAATATTTTTTGTAGGTTTGAAATTTGTCTCAAGAGGACAATTTATTAGTTTTATTTATTTCAGTTTGAACACTGCCTAATTCCAACTGACTCTGTTCACAACAGTGACATAAAAAAAAACACCCCAATACAACCCCAAACAAGATTGTTCTGGGCACAATATACATCAAGAAAACGAAAATAATAATACACCCAGCAAAGGACCACACTAGTCATGACCTGGGAGAACAGCCATATTTTCAAGGCTTTTTGGAATGCCAACAAGGTTGGAGCCACATGGATCTTAGAGGAGATCTCATTCCACAGGCAGGATCTGTGACAGAGAAGTCACGCTTCCTGGATCCTGATAGATGACATTGTTCAATTGAAGGGACCTGGAGCACCCCAACTCTGCCCACACATTCTAGCCAGGCAGAAACCACAGGAGAGAGGTAGTCAGTCAAATAACTGACCTTACACATATAGGGCTTTGGAGGTAATGATAAGTACCTTGATTTGCACCCAGAAGTGGCAACATAGACATACTGAGGGATGCCCATCCTTGCTCCTGCCTTTGGGTTCCGGACCCAAAGATTTTGAGTGGTTTTCAAAGTCAGCCCCATAGAGAACACTTTGTGAAGCCTTGAGGAGGCAGCAAGGGCGCATGTGTCTATCTGAAGGGCCTCCTGATTCCAGCTTGTGATTGTCAAAAGATCATTTATAAGACTGATCACAGTGGAGTGAAAGCAGCTATATAGCTGGCTTGCTTCTCAAAGCACGCCTGCTGAGACTCATTCTTACTAGCATTCAGTTATTAATTGCATCAAAATGCCAGTCTTTTCGCTGGAATTTATGTTCACGTTGCTTTGCTTAAGATTAATGTCCTAGAGCAAGAGGAGTGTAATTAAGCTATTTTCTCTCTTTAATTATTTATGGCTAAGTGTCGTAAACTATTTTCAAGTCAAATATATTTGTGCCAGTATGGTTTTTGCTGAGGATGAGATATCATTAATTCAGGCTGTACAGCAAAACTCTAGTATAAAGGGACAGGGGGGAATAAATAAATGAAAATATAGTTACATATTTCTGCAAGAATGACTTGCATACTACTTTTAGATATTGGGCCAAGGCTTTATCTAGGATTAGCTCCATTTTATCTAGGATTAGCTCCATTGTATTGGACTGGATTGTTTTTCAACAGGCATAGATTAGATTATCTTTTTTGGGTTGAAATCTATACACAGTATCTTAGATGTAAACATACTGAGGTCAGTGGGGAATATTTCTGAATAAATCTGTATAGGACATTTTGGTAAAAGAAAAAGAGAAAACGCCGATCCTTTATTGGAATATCCTCAGTATGTTCTCATTTCAACTTTAGGCTAAACCACCAAAATGTAAATATGTCTTCACAAGCAATCTCTTTTGGATAATCATAACCGTGCAAGAGCATAATGTATGCCTGGCTCAGGCAGGTAAGAATGGAAGAATGGAAACTCTGTCCTGCATGGGTCCCCTAGAGCAGGGGTCTCCAACCTTGGCAACTTTAAGACTTGTGGACTTCAACTCCCAGAATTCCTCAGCCAGCTTTGTCTTAAAGTTGCCAAGGTTGAAGACCCCTGCCCTAGAGCAGGGGTTCTCAACCTTTTCTTCACCATGGCCCCCCCTTTAAATATTTTTGTGGTCATGGACCATGGCCATGGACCCCCGAGACTTAAATCAAGATTTAAATCATAACATTTCTCCAAGCCTTCACGGAGGGCCTGTGGAAACATCGCGCACACACACACACCCTCCACAGCTCTACAGACCATAGGTTGAGAACTACTGCTCTAGAGCAATGTTTTTCAACTTTGGAAACTATGAGATGTGTGGACTCCCATTTCCAGAATTCCCCAGCCAGCATTCTGGGAGTTGAAGTCCAACACATTTTAAAAGATGGCAAGGTTGAAAAATACTGTACTCCCCTGGGGCATACTTATATTGTATGCTTTTTCTTGACTCACTACCTGACTCTGTTGTTACATCCTCAACCCCCCAAAAACTTTAACCTTAAACTGTCTACCGTGGACCTCACTCCTTTCCTAAGAGGTCTGTAAGGGCGCGTGTATAGGTGCACAGGTGTGCCTACCATCCTTATCCTACTGTTTTATCCATTTATTCATACTCAGTTATTATGTATATACTTATACCAGTTTATACTTATATGTTTACATGTTATGTTCATACTTATACTTGTTTTCTCATACATGCTTGACAAACTAAACTAAATAAAAAATAAATAATATAAATTTAAGTTTGGAGCTACTTACGTTTGAGAATATTCCTCTGCTCTAATTCTTCAGCAGTCGGTCTCTGGCTCAGCCGCCTGTAGAAAAAGCTCAATTTTAATTTTTTCACCATATCAGAACCTCCTCCAGCCTTCAATATTTGCCAGAGTCACTCTTCAACAGAAAATGCGAGAGCTCAGGAAATGATATTGTTCCTATGTAGATACGGATATTATTGAGCAAAACATAACATTTGTATTTCCCTTTACTGCCAACCGAGGGGAAACCAAATGGGTTGTGTCATATTAGGCATTACCCCTTCAGGCTAACCAGTGGAGAATTAGAAAAGGAAGATTTCTTTTACTTAATTTCCTTCCTTCTATGCTAGCTTCCTGACTGTCATGAATGTGACATCAGTTCTGTGGGGTTTTTTTTTGGTATGTGATCCTCCAAATTATAGAGAGATCAAAGCAATCCAGAAAAACTATCAGGCATGGTAACTATGCTCAGATTAGGACTTATTCTATGTTTCTCAAATCAGGATTTCCATCTAAAAACCTGTCTTTAGAGTCTGGAATAAGACCTGGAGGGAGGATAGAAGATGAAATGAGATGATCTCCAGCCAACATGAAGATCATCAGATTATGGGTGGCTGCCTTAAAGTAAACATAGAAAGCTGTGTTTCTATGTGAGCAGTTTTGGTCATCTTGTGCAAGGATTTCAACCTGCCAGTTCAACATAGACTTTTCAATCTATTAAACCAAAATCAAAATGTTCAAAATCGGACAAGTCTTCTTAATAGCTGGGAATATATTGTGAATAGAATCTCATCTGATTGTTTTTGGTTTCCTAGCTCAGAAATATGAGGTGTAGTGATTAAGTTGCTGACTACGAATTGGGAAATCCAAGTCCAAGTCCACCCTTAGCAATGGAAATTCTCAATCTTCTCAATTCTTTCTCAATCCAACCTCTCTCACAGGACTGTTGCCTATTGGAGGAAAAAGTGCTCAGTGTGCTATCTTGAGCTTCTGCTGCAAAGCGGGGTGAAGGATATAAATCTAACAAATAAACACAACAAATCATCAAACAGGCTTCTGACAATGGAAACAGTTTACAGTAGAGAGTAGTTGAAAAAAGTGACCTACAACCAGTCTCCGCACTTAACAACTGTTGCAGCATCTTCTCTGTCACATGATTTGAGTGCTTGGCAATTGGCATGCATTTAGAAGAGATGCAGATCCCTGAGGTCACATGATTGCTATTTCTGACCTTCCCAGCTGGGTTCTGACAAGCAAAGTCAATGGGGAAAGTTGGATTGGCTTAACAACTGCATGATTTCCTTAACAACAGCGATTTGCTTAACAACCATGGCAAAAAGTTCATAAAAGCAGGTGTGACACACCTAACAGCTTAGCAATGGAAATTCTGGTTTCAACTGTGGTCTTAAGTCAAATAATACTGTATACTGAACAATACATTAACTAAAGAGGCTGGGTTTGCATCACAGGTAAGTAAATAAATTAAAACACAAAAATAAAACAACAATAATAATAAAAGCCAAGGCTAAAACTAACACGATTCACCAATTGTGCAGACACAGATACAAATTCTTCCTTCAACTATATAATGTGAACACTACTGCAGTGTTCTTTTATACATCTTTTTCTTTTTTCTTAAACTAGAACTCAGTACTCTACAATATTCCAATAAGGCCCACATTTACAACTATTAGATAACTACTGTGTTTTAAATTCAGGCCTCATTCATTTTAATAATCAGAATAAATTGATCCCAGGCTTGGCAATTGGTCAGATTGCAATGTTATTATGTCATCCAATAGTCTTCCTGTTTGTGATAACAATTCCTTGTTTTTTTTACTGATCTAATTTTTATCCACTCTACTGGGTGGGTCAGTGGTTAAGATTCTGAGCTTGTTGGCTGGAAACCTGGCAGCCTGGGTTTGAGAAGAGCTCCTGTCCAGGGGTGGGATTCAACCGGTGTTACAACCGGTTCGGTGACTATGTTTTGCGTGCGCGTGTAAAAAACACATTAGCTGTGCCTCCCAGACAGCTGAAAAGCACTGCGCATGGGCGTGCAGCATTTGAAAAGCCTCTTTTTTCCTGCTTTTTCAACCTCAGCTGTGCCACGCAAAGCAGCTGAGGTTGAAAAAGCAGGAAATAAAGGGCAGGTAAGAGCCCGGGCGGGCAGGTGGGCCAAACAGCAGCAGACACAGAACTGGTTTGGTGTCTGCTACTCTTCAGAGCTACCAGTTCTATAGAACTGGGCAGAACTGGTAGCATCCCACCCCTGCTCCTGTCTTCACCCCAGCTCCTGCCAACCTATCAGTTTGAAAACATGCAAATGTGAGTAGATAAATAGGTATAACTTTGGTGGGAAGGTGAACTCCATGACATCATGCTGGCCCCATGGCTGCGGAAATGTATTCGGACAGTGTTGGTTCAATGGCCTTGAAACGGAGATGAGAACCACCTCCTATAGATGGCAACGACTAGCAGACTTAAACCTGCAGGGACTCCTTTAGCCTTTTTTTAAAAAAACCCTCTCTACTAATGCTTTCTTCTGGGCTTAAAGCAATAGAAAACATTCTTCAAAAACATCTAGATCAGTTTTCTTATGAAAATGGAGAGTCCTAGTGGAAAGGAAATGGGTATGATTATTGTTCAAGGAGTTGTATGTTCAAAATGTCATTGTTCCTCTGGAATGAATGCAGTTAATTTAATCAACCAACTGTTTTAAGGCTTCAGGGACTTTCTTTAGAATGTTGCATTTCTAGTGCAAAATTATTAAAATTGCAATGACACTTCTCATTTCAACCTTCTCAGAAGGCCATAATTTTTAAGTTTTTCTTGACTCTGTTAAGAACACTAGTGAGTATTTATCTTCTGATATCTTTACCTAGCTCAGTTAGCTTAGTATGCCAACTCTAATTCTCTATGAAAAAACTTGGAATGAATGATTGCAATATATTAAAGAAGAGTTCGAGATTCTCTGGACCAGGCGTCGCCAACTTTAGGGACCCCCAAACTCATAATTTTAGATCCGAGGGACCACTAACCGGTTCTGTGGGCGTGGCCTAATTTGTGGGTGTGGCTTGGTGGTCATGCGACTGGATGGGCATGGCTTGTATGTAAAGATTATAAATATTTATATAAATATTGCATTTTTTCTAAAAAAAGAGCAACTTTTATTCAAAATCAGGCAAAGCAGGCAGATTGAGTTGCTCACAGAATCACAGATTCATTCAGAGATCTATCTATCTGCCTTTGGCTAGCTCAGTCTGTCACATAAAATTTGTTTGCAAGCAAACTCATAAAATTTGCTAGCAAGCAAACTCACAAAATTAACTCACAATACACCATGCATGTAAATATTGAATTTTTTATTTTAAAAAAGAGCAACTTTTACCCAAAATCAGGCAAAGCAGGCAGATTGAGTTATTCACAGAATCATTCAGTGATCTATCTATCTGCCATCGGCTTGCTCAGTCTCTCAAATTTGCTTGCTGTGAGCCTGCACTGAATTTGCTTGCAAGCAAAACTTCAGTCCTAAGGGAGGTTCGGCTGTCCTGAGCCGAAGATCTAAAGACTAGCTAGAAAGCAAGAAATCCAACCATTTCCTGCTTCTTAGCTAATATAAATCTCCTGGCACAGCAGAACAGATGATGGTCGGAAAAAGGAAAAATAGCAATTTAGCAGGCAAGTTTACCGGGTAAGGAGAGAGTGGGTGTGGAGGGTTCCTGTGGGCCATGTGGGTGGCGCAGCCTTGTGTTTCTGCGCAGCCTGGATTAATTGCTTTTGGGGGGAGTGCTCTGGGGGTAAGATTTCTCTGCGGCCCACCAAAATTTTCTCACGGCCCACCGGTTGGCGACCGCTGCTCTGGACGTAAGAAGTGTAAACTTTGCCGAATGAGATTGCAAAAGAAGGTGGAGGTAGATATCAAAAAACAACAACCATCCAACTTTGGATAGTGGAATTTCAATTACTACAATCCCAACGGATGATAACTGGAGGGCATCTTGTTCCCATCAACTGAGGATCTTGTAGCAGGATTGGTATGTATGCTTTAAATGTCTGAGCACATTGTTGTTGTTGTTTTAAATCCCACAGCCAAAGGCAAAATAAGGAAGTGACATGACAAGAGAAAGGCAGAAAGTGAAACTGGAACTACAACAGGAGCTGTTTCCTTCTCAGTTTTAAAGGTTAACTCTCAAAGAGAATGACAAAAGCTCTTTGCAGGCTTTACTTGACACAATCCTAAGAATTAAATGAAATAATTAAACAGGGTGAATTAGTGTTTTCTTTGACTGGATTTTACCCATGAGGGACGTGAGAGAAATTTGATCACTCCTCATTTTAATACATTTTTGATTCGGTAAAGGAACTGAAGCTCAATTAACCTTTACATTCACACAGGATTGATTTTTGTTTCAATATACTCATATTAATAACGTATAAAAATCCATTAGTGAAAAACTGCTCGCAAAATATATGTATCAGGGAAAATGAAAAATATACACATTTCCTTATTATGAACTTTATTTGTGCCGGCTTTAATACTAATGGACTTATCATTCCAAAATGTGAGGCTAAAATAAAAAAAGTTTTCTCTGGGCACCTTCCTAATTTATTACTAGGGAAGCCCAAACTGAAGTAACAGCTTCTCTAAAACGCTTGACAGTTGTGACTAAATCAAAGGTGTCCAACTCAATTTCATTGAGGGCCGCATCGGGGTTGTGTTTGACCTCGGGGGGGGGGGGGGCGGGGGGATGCGTCCAGGTGGGAATGGCCATCTCGATGTCACATGTATCGGGGGGTAGCTGTGGTGGCCCAGGGGGGCTGGGGGAGATCCACTTTTGCTAGTAGTTGGTTTTGCTAGTATTCTGCAGTGAAAATGGAGCTTGGGGGCCCCCGTGTACCCCCCGGGCTCTATTTTTGTCTGTGACGGCTTCCTGCAGCCCTCGGCCAGTGAAAAGGGCCACCATGTGCGTCCCTCCCGAGCTCCATTTTTGTTGGCAGAGGCACTGCGGGCTGATCCTTTGCTGTTTCTAGGGCGGCCCCATGGGCCAGAACTAAGCAGCCTGCAGGCCGGATCCAGCCCTTGGGCCTTGTGTTTGACACCTCTGAACTAGATAAATACCCATATACAAGCAGTCTTTGACTTATGACTCTGGTGGAGCTTGCCCATTATGGTAGTAAGTTGTGATAGTCATAAAAATGAATCATCAAATGATCAACTGTTTTATAACTATTTTGTGGTAGTTGTTGAATGAATCACTAACGTCATTAAAAAAATACCCCATAAAATTTGAATGAATGCGGTTGTCATTTAATGAACTCGTGGTTTCAGAGGTGGGTTGCATATACTTTAACAACCAGTTCACCTAGTGCAGAACTGAAAATGTGAGCACATGCGCGCACGCCCCCTTTGCTTGTGTGTGGCTGCAAAACCACAGGGATTTTCTGCGTGCGACAGCCAGAGTAAGTAGATTGGGTGATGCACGGAAAGCAGCTGGGTTGTCAGGGCGGGGCAAGCAAATAAAAATGTGAGGTATATAGGACAGGATAGTGCCTGGGCGGATGGGTGGGCCCAGCCAGTAGTCATAACTACCGGTATGGGCGAGCCAGTCCAAACCGTCAGCAGCCCACCACTGCATCGTTTGCTATGGAGCATTTTTGCCTAAATTCAGAGGTAAATATCCATTTTTGCCAAAAATGTCATGAATCTCAGTTATGTGATGAGGGGACGCTGGAAATGTCCATAAATGCAGTGTTGTGAGTGCGGGGGAGGGGATTTGTCAGATATCAGATCATAAATATCTTTTGAGGGGATACAAATAGTCACTAAATGACCAGTCGAGGACTACCTGTAAAGCAGATTAAGGCTTTTAATGTTGGGGTGTGTGTGTCAATCTCCTGCAATGTGGAGCAAACAACTAAAGGCTACTTCGGGGGGGGAGGGCTGTAATATAGGCAATGTAATTCTGCATTTGGCAGCAGTGGCGGGAGACAATTTTGTGCCTGCTGCTAAAACATCCTCGAAGTCAAGGTGAGAAATCTCCTCCTCTGTGACTCACAGATCTGCAGTATGAAGATCCAAGTCTTCTGAAAGCCACACAAATTAAATTTCTGAGAGAGATGCTTTGAGTCTCTGAATGCGCTTCAAATTTCCTTCTAAATTTGGAAGACTGGCTGTCCCCCTTCGAGACCCAAACGAGATTTAGCTGCCTTAAATCCTGGCCAAAACTGATTACTAAAGATGACTCTTTAACTTCCTTGATTCTGCTAGAGGGCTTCTCATCATCCCTGGAAGACAAATAGAACTGAATCATTATACAGGAGACTACAGTTTGTCTGCCTGATGCTTTATCTCTCTTTGAGGAGCAGGAGAGCCAGCACTGAAGCTGACCTAAAAACAAAACATTTTTGATACTTATCTCCAAACAACAACAACCAGAGGTCAGCCTCCCTCTCTAGTGGTGGTGGTGGTTTGTCTATCTATTCACCCCAGCCAATTACTCAGATAGTATCTCATGCCTATCAAACTAGAGAGTCCTTTTTTGATCATATTTAACTCCTGTCATCTATGGAAATAGAAGCAAATAACAGATAATAGATAACCAGAGTTGGAAGGGACCTTGTAGGTCATCTAGATCATCAACCCCGTGCCCAAGCAGGAGACCCTACACCATTTCTGACAAATGGCAGTCCAATCTCTCCTTGAAAGTCTCAAGTGATGATGCTCCCACAACTTCCGAGGGCAACTGTTCCATTGGTTGATTGTTCTCACTGTCAGAAAGTTTCTCCTTATTTCCAGGTTAAATCTTTCCTTGTTCAGTTTCCATCCATTATCCCTTGTCTGGCCTTTGGGTGCTTTAGAAAATAGCTTGACCCCTTCCTCCCTGTGGCAGCCCCTCAAATATTGGAAGACTGCTATCATGTGTCCCCTGGTCCTTCTCTTTACTAGACCAGCCATGCCCAGTTCCTGTAACTGTTCTTCATATGTTTAAGTCTCCAGTCCCCTAATCATCCTGGTTGCTCTTCTCTGTACTTTTTCTAGTACAGAGATACAGCAATATCCCAATGCAAAATCATTTCTGCCTTGCCGATTGGAGGAATCTGAACCAATCATGCATGCATTATAGTCTTGTCCTATTACTATACTCAGTTTAGCAAACTGACCTAACAAATCCCTTGTTTCTAACCCAATCTTCAGGTTCAGTTGGGAGAACCTTTACTTTTTGCTTCCTGGCCTCTGGAAAGGTGGAAAGTTCAGTTCTGTGATTGGTGCAGTCTGGAAGTACAGGGTTGCTTGTACTTATATAAGTAGTCCTCAACTTATGACTATAATGGAGCTCAGCATTTCCATTGCTAAGTGAGACATTTGTTAAATGAGTTTTGCCCCATTTTGTGAGCTTTCCTGCTACAGTTGTTAAGTGAATCACTGCAGGGGTTAAGTTAGTCACACGGTTGTTAAGTGAATCTGGTTTTCCCATTGACTTTGCTTGTCAGAAGGTTGCAAAGGGTGATCACATGACCCAGGGACACTGCAATTGTCATAAATATGAGCCAGTTGCCAATCATCTGAATTTTGATAATTGCAACTGTGAAAAATGGTCATACTGTAAGTCACTGGTTTCAGTGCTGTTGTAACTTTGAACGGTCACTAAATGAACTGTTGTAAGTCAGGGACTAGCTTTATTTGAAGGTTGTTGGTGCTGAGAAGAAAGACAATTCTTCCTACCTTGTCAGTTTGGTGCCAATCTGCTGCCTGAGCTCCAGCCGCTCCTCATCCGTCTGCATGGGGAGGATGTTCTTCTCCTCCAGCTCACGCTTGGATGGCCTGTTGCTCAGCTTGATAGCTAAAGAATCTTTCCTGCAAACTTTCATTGCCAGGGAACCTTGGATAGAAAGAATCACATTCAGTTTAACTGCTGGCACAGAAGCTTACTTTTCCATTTTTTAAAAATAAATAAAATAAAACCTGTTTTTAAGACCTCTACCCTTGCGGAAACTTTGAATGTTGAACAAGAGAGACCATTTCAAAAGCATCTCCTCTCACTTAGCATGCTCCCTTATGAAGGCGAGTGTTTTCAGTGCTGAGTATAATCTTAGTTCAACCCTCCACGAATGCAAAGTGGATTGTTTTGCACATGAGACAAATGTGCACATGGAAAGTGGTTTCGAGGTTCCAATCTCAGCTAGCAAGACGACTCTTGCTCAAGCCCAAGACTTTTTACTCTTGCCATCCCCAGGGTAGAAAAGAGCAGCGGATCTGATAGGCCACTGTAAGGAAAACAACCATAGTTGGGATGAAGGATTGCACGAAAGGAAAATGGGGTTAACGCTCTCCTCTCTGTCTCAGGATCCTAAGTTCAAGGAACTGATATTCCCTTGAAAGAATGCTGTAATAATACAACAACCTTTTAGCCTTTTGAATTCTTAACTGAAGTCCACTTTTACCTTGTACATTTTAATTTTGATCTTAACTCTGTTTTTCATCTCTCCGTATATGTGTGTTTACATTGTTTTATTGTGTTGTTGTAAACTGTCTGGATTCATTTTGGTAACACAGGCAGTATAGAAATGTAATAAATAAAGAACAAAATAAATAAAAATTGGTAGTCCTCAACCAACAGACACAAAGAAAAGGGGGGGAACACCTGGTTTCTCCTTTATTTAATGTTACATCCTGCCAATCTGATCACATTATTAAGTCCAACACCAGATATTTTTCCTTGCTTCTGCAGTGGGACGTATTGTGGGCCATATTCTCATATTCCCAATGAAAGTTAAGCAATTGCTGCTTCATTGGATATTGTTCAACGTCAGATTTTTTTTAAAAAAAATTTTTTTTTGGTGGCAATGGAATAAGAATGTCACGTTTTTGTTGCTGCCTCCTGTATTTGCAGCTAGGGAAATAAGGAGGCAACATGACAATGGAGATAGAAAAGGTTGGATTGAATCCTCCACTTCCATTGCAGTGCAAACCCAGTTTCTTTGACTGAAATCTCAGGCTGAAAAGCAATATCCCCAATGTTTTGGAATGTGATCAGTGGGTCAGTAAAGGGAACAATCTTATCAGGAGAACAAGAAGAGCCCTAGGATTCCATGTCACAGAACTAGAAAAACTAAGTAATTTGTCTTTTCAAGCAACATTTGAGCCTTGTGGCTGCTAAGATTTGGCCTGGTGGAAGCAAGACATTGAATGCCTTTTCAAAGCTTTTCAGATCCACATATGAATATCCGCAAAGATTTAAGCAGATATGTGTCATCAATCCTTTTCAGATTTTGTCCGATCCCACTTTACTCCACTGTCACTTGAAATCTCATAAGATCATTTTAAGATTATTCTTCAAGTTTTCTTTGATAACATGGGAAAAAACTCGCAAGGTTTGGTGATCTTGTGAACCATTGGCCCCTTTATATATGGATATATTTTCCTTCAATCCAATTGCAACAATAACTTCAGAAGTTATGAAAGGACTCAAAGAGACTGTGTTGAGGATCTCTAGGAGAGATCAAGCAGGAGTTATACATTTCCTGATCTATCACTTTTACTTTTTTATCTGGATCTGTTAATTCCCAGAATTCTCATATTCTTAAGCTAAGGTTTTCTCATCTATTTTATTTCCTGTAATGAACTGCTTCACTCCAGAAAAGTTAGCCAGCTGAGAACCAGGCTACGTTTTCTCATTATGATCCGTTCAAAGCAACGGCAAGAACCAGTACTGCTTTCTCTAGCAAAGATCAAACGTGTCAACGTGACTTTGTAAATAATGAGCTCTACTTACTTGAAAATAACGAGCTATCATCATCTTCATCTTCCTCCTCGTCCTCTTCTTCTCTTGTATAAAGGCATGAAGAATCGCCAAAGTCAGATTCGTGAGGCACGTTTTCTTTATTGTCATCACATTCAATCACAACAGTTGGCACTTGTCTCATGTCTGCAAGGCCTCCGGGTCCAGTTTTTGAGAGGCTGTCACCGCCGTGTAAATTGGAGCTTTAGGATCAAGAAAGAATAGAATAGAATAGAATAGAATAGAATAGAATAGAATAGAATAGAATAGAATAGAATACTTTATTAGCCAAGTGTGATTGGACACACAAAGAATTTGTCTTGGTGTAAATACTCTCAGTATACAAAAAAGAAATACATTCATCAAGAGTTGAGAATCATAAGGTACGACTCTTAATGATAGTCATAGGGTACAAAAAGCAATCAATCATACTAGGAAACAGTCAATATAAATCATAAGTATACAAGCAACAAAGTTGCAGTCATACAGTCGCAAGTGGGAGGGGATGGGTGATAAGGAGTGATGACAAGATTAACAGTAATAGTAGCGCAGACTTTGTAATAGTTGAACAGGGTTGAGGGAATTATTTGTTTAGCAGAGTGATGGCTTTCAGGAAAAAACTGTTCTTGTGTCTAGTTGTTCTGGTGTGCAGTGCTCTATAGTGTCTGTCATTTTGAGGGAAGGAATTGAAACAGTTTATGTCCGGGATGTGAGGGGTCTGTAAATATTTTCACAGGCCTCTTTTTAACTCGTGCAGGATACAGGTCCTCGATTGAAGGCAGGTTGGTAGTAATTGTTTTTTTCTGTAATTGTAATTGTTTTTTTTAATACAGAAGAGAAATACTACATCTTCAGAATGAAATGCAATGTCAGCATCTTTCAGGCTAAAACAGAGACAAACTCTAAGAGAAAACTTTGTGTCAACATCCGAGACAGCGCACTGTTCAAAGTGGTCACAACGCCCCGTTTCGGAGTTGCCACACATGTGCAGGGGGGATGCACGGGGCCACAGATGGGTGTCGGGTGATGGGACTCACGCTGGGAGAGGAGCCAGGAGGGCAAGCCAGCTGTGGTTGGTTCAGAAGCCATCCAGGCCCAAACAGCGCTTGCTGGAGCCGGGCAAATATAGTACTTGTTGGAGCCAGCCAGGAGCCACCATGAACAGGAGGGCGGAGCATGCTGAGCCCGTATAGCCAGCTGGCTAGCAGAAGCCAGTAATGCTGGCTAGAAACCCTTTTACTTGTATTGTTCACCAAGTGCCAAGCTGTGACTCCAGTAAAGAGACCCGTTCTGCTCACAGTGTGGCCTCTTCTTTTGCTGGCTTGGTTTGGAACTGTGACACTATGGATATATTGAACTTGGCCACTCGTAAAAAAGGTGATGATGGGCTCCTATGAAAAACATTTGCGCAATAGGTAAAAGTTGGCTTCTATTTGTCTTTGAATTAGCCTTTTATGGTCAAGGTTTAATTCATTGCTTAAAAACTGAATCATAATGATGTTCAAAAATGTAACTTAAATACTTGGGAAGTCTGACCCTATTTTTCCTCTGTTTTCCATATCTGTCTCTATCTCACTTCTACTTCTCCTTTTAAAAAGTTTTCTATCCTTGATTTAGTTATTCACTTAACAACTGTCTCGCTTGATCTCAATGGTCATGTCAAGAACTACCTGTAGGTATGCAGTGAAATCATATATAAAGTGATGTTTAGACTTCATCTCTTCATTGCCTTCAGCAGGGCTTGTGTCATTGTTTTATTCTCTCTCTCTCTCTCTCTCTCTCTCTCTCTCTCTCTCTCTCTCTCTCTCTCTCTCTCTCTCTCTCTCTCTCTCTCTCTCCCCCTCCCTCCCTCCCCCCCTCCCTCCCCCCCCCCCCCCCCTCTCTCTCTCTCTCTCACACACACACACACATTTATTTATATGGTTGACACTGATGAGGACACGTATGGTTTCAAGAAATCTAATAAATGTCTGTTGCCGCCAACTTTACAAACTCTTTGCAGATTAATTTTTCCTTTTAGATCAGCAAGACTATAAATGGCAATGTTATCAACATCCATGGCACAACTGACCTCTTCAAATAAGCATATCTCTTTTAAAAATCTACATTAATCTCCTCAGAGATAAACATGTTTGCCCAAACAAAACAAAACAAATTTAAAACACATCAAGGCATGTTCAGTTTTGCAGATGCTTTGCCCGCATGCATTATGAAAAGGGCAACTTCTTTTTCAGACAAAAAAAACCCCACATCATCACTGCTTAATCTCCCAAGGATGAAGTTAACAGATATCATTCTGACAGAGATAGCAACTGAATAATTGGCCTATTATTTTGATTCCCTGCTTTGGGATTATGAGAAATAGACATGTGCTACTTTTGTATCTCTCCCCAATCATTCAGCATCTGTCTGAATTCCCAATTTATGAATTATTAACAAAGCAACATTAAAGGAGTAGGTTGGATTTAACCTAACCTCGAACAAATAGCACTGTTTTGTGCTAAATAAATATAAGGCAAAATAGAATCCCTGCCAAATTAACCTAAACCAAATAGAAACTTTATCTGAAAGGTTAAATCTTAAAACTGAAAGGATTGTATAGGATGCTATGTCTACAAGCTGGTTCCATTCTTCCATAAAACACAAGCTAAGGAGAAGAATGGAATGATATGGAGTCAAGGGCCTGAAAGGTCTCAGGCAACTCACTGTGACTAACCCGCCACAGCCAACTCGTCATGGTCAACCTATCATGGCCAATTCATCATGGGACGACTCACCATGGGACAAAAGTTACACAAATATCTAAGAAATGGCGGGGCAGGATCATTAAAGAAAGGATGCAAAAGGAGGGACAAAATGAAATGCGAATGACAAACTAATTTTTGAAATTATTTTAAATAATTAAATAGAATTATTGAATTGTCCCACTGTGAGTTGTCCTACAGCAAGTTGGCCTGCAGCAAGTTGGCCATGGTGAGTTGGCTGTGATGAAACAGCAGTGGTGAGTTGGCCATGGCAAGTTGGCCAATAGAGTTGTCCCATTCCGGGGCTTGAAAATGACATCTTCCAATTACAGAGCAAGTTCACCAATGGAGACTTCAAATGCTCTCCTGGAATTGTTTAGTCCTGCAAAGGTAAGGGTACCTCAGATAGCACTGAATTACTCCGTAATATAAAGAGGATTTCTATCTTTAGCTTGATATTTAATACTGGCTAGGGAATTCTGGGAGTTGAATCCAGAAAGCTTAAAATTGCCAAAGGTGACAAACAGTGCCTTATGGTCTCTCATCCAAACAGTTCCAAATCTGATCTGTTTCTCTATTGGCCATCAACCAGGTTTGTCTACCTGCTACCACCAAGATCAGTATTGATTTAATGGTCAAATAAAAGATTGAGCTCTTAATGAGGCCATCATCGCTCCCTTTTGCTACCATGACGGTTTTAGCTAAATTATTTTTATTCATGCAAGAGTGCAATTCCTGTAAAGCCCTATCAAATTCAGTGGGAATTACTTCTTGGTATCTAGAGATTGACTGGCAGTCTCTTATCAGCAAAGCAAGATAAAAAAAATACATCCTGCAACAGGGTTGTTGTAAGGATTACTGAAATTATGCATACATAGGAAGAACTATTCTACAACACAGCACACGTTTTTGAAGTAATTATCTTTGAGCAAACAACTAGATACGTAATATTTGAATCTGAATGACAGAATTATCTTTCAACCTGCACTCTTGTTCTTTTCATTTACAGTTGTAGGGTTAGGATCAGATTAGGGGTAAAGTAAATTGCCCTACGAATACAAGGACACTTTTTTTGTTATGTAAATAGTTGGCAGGATGAAACTTGTGAAGAGCCTCCAGTTTCTCTTGAAATTCAAATAGCATTTTTTGATGTAGATCAAAAAATTCAAATAGCATTTTTTGATGTATGGGGAAGAGGGAGGGCGAGTGTATTAAATTTTCTCATTACATTGTGCACAATTGCAAGGCTAAGTAGGTTTCCCTTTGACTCCTGGAACTCAGAAAGCACGAGACAGTGCTCCATGTTCTTTGACATATTTCCTTCATGGGGACCATTAATTACTGTACTCTGCTTCCGTCCTTTCAAAGAGTTGCCATCTGACTGAATCTTGTCTAATTAATGTCTCCTTGTAAGCCGAGAATCCACAAGTGTTATGAAATACAATCCCAATCTCCTAACAATTTATGATTGTTAAGGAGAACCGGGTTAGTTAGAACCCTGGCATCATGTTTTAAATGAGCCCCATTAAACCCATACCTGCAAACCTGATGTTTCCCAAGATTCATACACTTGGGAAAGACTGCCCTACCAGCCCCACAGGCCTTTCATTTTAGAGTGCTCGGTCTCCACTGCAACATTAAGTGTTGCTAAAGAATGCCATCTCATAAGGGGGAACCCCCACCCCCCAAATACCAATCATTCATTTTTCTGCCACGGTAGTTCCTAATCTGTGCTTCCAGACAATGCACAGTCTGTAAGATTTCTGCAGGTAATTTTACCAGCATAATCTCCTCCCCCCCCCCCGCCCGGGAAGACTGCTGCAAATAAATTATTGAGATGAATATAATAGATATGGAAATGAGGGTGAAACGTTGTTCAAAATGTATCTGCTTTTTAAATTCCTTCTGAGAATATAACATGGGCTGAAAACCACAACTGCACAAAGAAGTTGGGAACATTTGGTCTAGTCCTACATTCAGAGCACCTACCGTACGAAGACTGCAGTTGGCAATAGGAAATAATCACATCAGATTCATTATATAAGGATTATATAATTATATAGGGATGATTGGTTATATTACTATATAACTGATATATTATAGGGATGACATATAACTGATATGTAATAGGGATACAACTGATATATCAGGGATGATTAGTTATACCATTATATAGGAATTATATAATTATATAAGGATGATTAATAAAGCACCTGGCAGCAACTATTGTCTTTGCATGACAAGTCAGGAATTTGAAATGACTTTTTGCCATAAACACACTGCATGGCGCAACCATCCATCTAATAATTATTTGCTTTTTTAAAAATGAACACCTTACATTACAAATTGCGTGATCTAGCCTAATATGAATAACTAACATAATTATTATTATGGTATTCCACCCACAAACAGATAAATAGTATAGAAAATGAAGGCAGTAAGGGTAATTGTAGTCATTTTCTTCATCTCAATAGATAGCCATGCATTTTTCAAAAACATGAAACCAACAAATGAAATGGGAAGCAGAAATATGTGATGCAGAAATGTTTCCAATTCATAACAGTGCTTGTAAAGGCACAGTATTAATATCAAACAATTTTCAAAGAGTTGTTAGAGAAATTGTTCTCCAAATTACTCTAACCTCTAAAAAAACACTATTATCTCAAAGATAATGAAAATCTGTCTAATTTGTACATAGTCTACAATGTTCAAAGTTTTTATTTTGATGTAACAAACACAAGCCCTCAAAATGAATATTTACCAAGAAATATCCAAGGGGATAACTGTATTATCATCACCAAGAATAAGCAATGTAGCAGAGTATAATCTCAAAATTTTGATGTATAAATTAAATACATTTCTGTATTAAAATGTACTTCTGTATTGCTGAGTGCTCCTTATGGATAGCAATAGCCCTTAGACTTATATATAGCTTTACAGCCCTCTCTAAGTGTTTTACAGAGTCAACATATTGCCCACAACAATCTGGGTCCTCATTTTACCCATCTTGGAAGGATGGAAGGTTAAGTCAACCTTGAGCCAGCGAGAATCGAACTGCTGGCATTTGGCAGAATTACCCTGCAATACTTCATTCTAACCACTGTGCCACCATGGCTCTTTGTTCCCAGTGTGGAGAATTATCTGCACTAAAGTCCCAAAGGTGCTTTCTTCTTCTTTTTTTTCCCAAGAAGCAACTGGACTTTCTGGTTTTTCTTTGAAGACATTTTGCTTCTTCAGCTCTGAAGAAGCTTCTTGGATGAGAAGTGAAACATCTTCAAATAAAAATCAGAAAGTCTAGTTGCCTCTTGAAAAAGCACCTTTGGAACAACCATGACATGTATGACTGAGAACCTCCATAGACATCTGCAATGAAGGTTAAATCACCAGAAAGAAGACATGGCCAAAACTGTGAATTTTGAAAAAAAATCCAGCCCTTCTGTGAGTAAACAATTTGGGCTCATAAGAAGAGCCTCGTTGAATTTAATCAGAAATCTATCAAGTTCAGCACCTGGTTTTCTAGGGTAACAAACCATACTCTGGAAACCAGTCTGCTCACATTAGAGTGGTGTTTATTAGTCAAGATGTGTTTTTTACATAGTTTTTCTTCTCACTCACTAGGCCAGGGGTCACCAACCTTTTGGAGCTCAGGGACCAACAAACTCATAATTTTAAATCCCAGGGACCACTAACCGGTTCTGTGGGCATGGCCTAATTTGTGGGTGTGGCTTGGTGGTTATGTGACTGGCTGGGCATGGCTTGTATGTAAATATTATAAATATTTATATAAATATTGAATTTTTTTAATAAAAAAGAGCAACTTTTACCCAGAATCAGGCAAAGCAGGCAGACACATTGAGTTGCTCACAGAATCACAGATTCATTCAGAGATCTATCTATCTGCCATTGGCTAGCTCAGTCTGTCACATAAAATTTGCAAGCAAACTCATAAAATTTGCTAGCAAGCAAACACACAAAATTAACTCACAACACACCATGCATGTAAATATTGAATTTTTTATTTTAAAAAAGAGCAACTTTTACCCAAAATCAGGCAAAGCAGGCAGGCAGATTGAGTTGCTCACAGAATCATTCAGTGATCTATCTATCTGCCATAGGCTAGCTCAGCCTCTCAAATTTGCTTGCCGTGAGTCTGCACTGAATTTGCTTGCAAGCAAACCTTCAGTCCTAAGGGAGATTCGGCTGTGCTGAGCCGAAGATCTAAAGACTAGCTAGAAAGCAAGAAATCCAACCATTTCCTGCTTCCTAGCTAATCTAAATCTCCCAGAGCAGCGGAACAGATGATGGTCGGAAAAAGGAAAAATAGCAATTTAGTAGGCAAGTTTACTGGGTAAGGAGCAAGTGGGCAGGGAGGGTTCCTGCAGGCCATGTGGGCAGCGCAGCTTTGTGTTTCTGCGCAGCCTGAATTAATTGCTTTGTGGGGTTGTTCTGGGGTTGAGATTTCTCTGCGGCCCACCAAAATTTTCCCACAGCCCACCAGTGGGCCGCGGCCCACCGGTTGGCGACCGCTGTACCAGGCACAGAGTTGGGATGCTCAAATTACCTTTCTAGCCGCTGCATGGTCATGGACAGTGTTTTATTCAACTCCTCGATCATGCGACATCCTGAAGGGTGCATGGGTAACGTGTTGGATCCAGAAGGCATATGTGAGCTGTGGCTGCTGTACTGATGCTGGTGTGCTGCTAATTGTGATGGGAGGACTGTGTGATGATGCGAAGTCAATGGTTGCTGGGAGTTCTTCTGCGTGGAATAGGATGAGAGGGAGAGATCGGGTCCCCCTAAAGGCATGCAAATCATGACTTTCTTTGGAGGTAGTGGAGGTGATAGCTTGACTGGCATACAAGGCAGCTTCATCGGAGCACCAGGATCTTAAAAACAAAGGTTGAGAAACACAGTTATGAACAAAGGTGGAAAAAGGTACTTTGGTTCTCTCCACATCCATTGACTCATCTAATATTGAAAGCATTTTTCCTCGTGCACAACTCATGCAGTTCAAGTAGATATGAGAGATTACTACATATATCATGCTGTCCTTCCTGGTTCAATCTGTAAACAGGTAGTCCTCGACGTATGATCACGACTGAGCCCAAAATTTCTGTTGCTAAATGAGAAATTTGTTAAGTGAATTTTGTAGATCTTTACAGCAATCTACATGTTCATTCAGTTGAAACCTTGAATACATATGCATCTATAAAGAACATGTGAAGAGACTGGAAGAAATGAGATTTCTCTTCATATAATTGGGACATTTTTAGCTACAATTCTTCATATATTGGAAAAAGAAACAGTGATTTTTTTCCTGATGTTTGTGAGTTTCATTAAGACTAGAAAAAAAAGCTCACTAATTTTACTAAGCTCAACCTTAGCTTCCGTATGCTTTGCACACTAGTATATTCTGATATGTTTTAGAGTCACCTAAGTGAGATGGGTAGTATGAAGATATGATAAATGAATGAATGAAACTGCTTGGTTTAGGATTATGTTATGGTAATAGGAATTCAGTAAAAGATTATCCTATATAAACACTGTAATTTTATACTAATTATATATGTACTTGTTGTCCATATCTTAATACAGATATATCAGTGAGAGGGAAGAAAGAATAAAGTAAAAAAAAAAAAAACCTCAAGAATGGACCACATGAAATCTGTAGTGTTAATTAGAAATGGTGAGAAAATCGACTGCATTTTAATGTGAATTCATTCAATTCTTAGATTAGATGCCTTTCTTTAAATTTTACCACACAAGTCTCACCTCAAAAATTACTTATATTAGTAAATAACAATATGTGGAGAAAGGTAAGGCAGGTGAATAGATACCCCGTACTTTGCTGGGGACACCACAGCAGAAAATGCATTTGGATGCAGGATCCAGACTGCCAATAATTCTCCTTGGATTAAAGGGAAGTCTTGAGAGCAAACTCATGGATTCTACACAGCTGGAAGTTTTTTTGTGAGTCAACAGAGAAATGGATATTTTTGTAGCTGCTCATGATCAGCTGGGAATTGTGGGTTTTATCCTGCTTTGAGCCATCAATATAGCCTTTTTTAAGGAATCAAAGTTCAACCAAGCCTCATCTTTTTAAACACCTTGGGAGTATAATTTTCTTTTTACAGTGAAAATCTTTCAGAACTGCAAGCTTTGTATTTGCTGGGTTAGTCCCTCTTTAACCCATTTTAAAAGAGGACAATATGTGTGTTTCCAGCTCTGTAAGATTTTATTTTCTGTAATAGCACAGAAGGATGACTATAGTGTTGTTTTTGGAATGTATTTAAATGCCAAAAAAAATGCATAAAATTGATCTAAAGAAAGACTTGGAAGCTAACTAAAATGTCTTCTCTTGTAGGAATTTCTCGATTTATAAATTGTTGATAAGAAGGCTTTGAAGGTTAATCATTAGAAAGCACTACAGGTTATGTTAAAGGAAATTTAGATGTGTTGACTGAAGAACTGTGTGAGCTACTTAACATTATATTTCAAATAAAAAGTGTTAAAGAACATTAAATTTCTTTGAATAAAATTGAAAAGGAAAGAGGAATTGAAAACTATAATCTACAAGAAAGGGATGGATTTACAAATGGACTATTAAAAAACAAAAGTGATACACAAATAAGATAAAAAAAGATGTTGATTACTCATTTAAATTGGACTATCAAAGAATTACAAGAGAGGCTATTGAAATTGCAAATGGATTTTAAGAGAAGAGACAAAGATAAAGTGTTTTTAGAAAATCTATTGAGATGGAATGAAGATGTATTTGGTAATATTTTTAAGATATAGTCAGAAGTTGTTAATGTTGAATATACTTGCTGGAGATGAAGAGAGAAGTTTTTTCATATAGTTTTCTTTTTCTTTTCTCTTTCCTTTTTTTGGGGGGGATTCTGCACTTTTTTAAAAAAATATTCTTTAATGTATTTTGTATTAGGTTTTTGTATCTGCTTTACCTGATTAACATAATCCTTACTAAAATTATTATAAAGAATAGTAAATAACGTATCAATATGCACGTATTTATATTTTTAAAAATAGTGATTTTTTTAAGGCATTTAAAAAGTTGACCTAGTCCTAGACAGTAATATTTGGATGGAATAGATGTTTCTGAATGAATTCATGTAAACCTGACATTTGCAGCCTGATTCTTTTATCTTTAGTTTTAATACACTGTATTTATTTATTTAGTGCAGGAATGTCAAACTCATGTCTTCATGTCGTCATGTGATGTATCCTCCTCTTCGCTAAACCGGGCGTGGGCGTGGCCAGCACGTGACACATCCGGCCCGTGCGCCAGGAGTTTGATAGCCCTGATTTTGAGTATGGGAAAAAAATGTAAAAATGTGCTGTAATTGTTGTTTAAACATGAAGAAAGAATCTGAATGCTACCTGAATGTAGGGCATTTTATTTGTTTCTCTTGGCTCTTGCAGTTTATTTTTTGCTGAATGATGGCTCAACTGTTGAAACAAATCTTTGTATTTGGTAACCTAAGGGTTTGGCTACAACATGCTAAATGAACACTGCCACACAATTGGGGCAGGGAGAGATGTTTATGAAGACCTGTGTGGCCTATTATTTGAGGTTAATTTGCTTTATTCTGCTGTCTTGGAGAAGGTCATTTCATCAAAAGTGTTAAAGGAGGTGACACATTGACTGGTTTCTATATGCGCAAAGGAAAATATTATTTCTGTCTTTGCCTCAAGCATGAAAATGCCTTGGGCTGCCTCTGCCTAAGAAAATATAGCTCTGTTCCAATGCATAGATTTCAGCATCTTTCCGAACAAAAGTATACAATCACAGCTCCAGGGCAGTGTGCCATCTTCAAAATAGCCTCCGTGTTATTTTTAACCAAAATGCATTAATGCGGCAGAAAAGGAAAGGCAAATACTGTATATCAGTGATCCCCAACCTATTTTATGCCGCGGCCCAGTACCGGCATCAGCTGGGCGCCGCGGCCCGGTACCGGCATCAACTGGGCGCCGCCATCTTTTTTTGATGAAAAAGTGCTTCCGGTGAGCTTTCTACCTGGAAAAGCTCACCGGAAGCACTTTTTTATCAAAAAAAGATGGCGGCGCCCAGCAACCAGCGGCCCGGTAAGACTTGTTCCGCGGACCGGTACCGGTCCGCGGACCGGCGGTTGGGGACCCCTGCTGTATATGATTAATCATAGCTAATTTTCAATTACATTTAAAAACAAAAGCAAAGTATCTGGATTCATCAGAAATCACAGTGTGACAGCAATGAGAAGAGAAACCAGATATTAAATTAAAGGGAATATATTTTTATATATTAAATATTCACTCTCAAAAAGATTGCTGCAAGCCCCTCCTTAACTGAATCATATGGTAGCTTCTACAAAGCAGGAACAAACAGTCCATCACAACTTGCTACTTTTTGTCTAAACTAAAGTACATACACATCTCACAGTGGAAATTTATTGAGAATTGAGATCGTTTTTCATTTTCATTGTGTGTTGCATTATATGCATCTCTTAAAATGCAATCTAAATGTGACATTTTCATTTTGGAAAGAAGGATGTGCTGGAATTGACTGCTCATTTCCAGGCTCTGTGCAGGGCAACATAATCCATAATTCCAGCATGAACAACACCTGTTGATTTATGATCCATGCAACTTGACTATAAGCATATTCATTGGCAAATAAGAGTTTTGATTTCATCAAGACCTAAATAAACCTATATATTCAAATTCAGTTGTATATGTTAGGGATAACATGGTTACCTAACTTAGTTTGGGTAAAATAATATATATAGACTATGATTGTGTGTGTCACTTTAAATGCAGACCATGTATTTTGGGTGCGGTTGTAAAATCACCATAAGAGGGAGCAAGAGAGCTCACTGTTTGCTGGCTTTTACTGGATTGCTGACAATGATGGATTGATGGTGATAACTGCGTGTTTTCCCTGCTATTGCTGAACGAAGAAAAGAGGTTTGATTTTCTTCATATCTCTACTGCAAAAAGAGATATATTACTGGACTGATTATTTGTGAGTTTACTGACCTCTTTTTCGACACTGGACTTTGCTAATGGATAATCCCCGGATGGACTGAACTAAGTGTATGATATATGGACTGTTTGACTATGCTATAACTATTACTGGAATAAAAACTATTTAACTGGCACAGTGTATCTGATTTACTGAGTGTAAGCTACAACAAAGTTTATCTCACATATCTGCCTGCCTGCCTGACTACCGTTGCACGTTCTGCTAAGGTGTATATCCCTAACACTGGTTATTAAACTAATTGTCCCATTTCCACCATAGATCATCTTCAAATGGGAAGGAGCCAAGAACTGGCAGAAAGGTAGAAAGGGAATATTTAACCCTTAAGCAATTTCTCAGCTATTATTTTTCCTGCAAGAAAATAAGTCCCCTATACCAGGGATCCCCAACCTTTTCGACGCCGCGGCCCGGTTCCGACATCAGCTGGGCGCCGCGGCCCGGTACCGGCGTCAACTGGGCGCCGCCATCTTTTTATGACGAAAAGGCGCTTCCGGTGAACTTTCTACCCGGAAGCGCTTTTTTACCAAAAAAAAGATGGCGGCGCCCAGCAACCAGCGGCCCGGTAAGGGTTGTTCCGCGGACCGGTACCGGTCCGCGGACCGGCGGTTGGGGACCCCTGCCCTATACTGTATCCAAGACCATAAATGCAGGTAGTCCCTGACTTACGAACACAATTGAGCCTAAAATTTCTGTTGCTAAGTGAGACATTTGTTAAGTGAATTTTGGCCCATTTTGCGACTTTTCTTGCCATGGTTGTTAATTGAACCACTAAGCTGGTATTACAGTTTTTGTGAATCTGGCTTCTCCATTGATTTTGCTTGTCAGAAGGTCACAAAAGGGAATTACATGACCCTGGCAAACTGCAAACGTCATAAATGTGAGACAGTTGCCAAACATCCAGATTTTGATTATGTGACCATGGAGATGCTACAAGGGTTGTAAGTGGGAAAAACAGTGATAAGTTCTTGCTTTTCAGTGCTGTTGCAACTTGTACAATCATTAAATGAACTGCTGTAAGTCAATGACTATCTGTTAGGTGTGAAGCTGCTTAAATGTAAATAGGCAAGGAATAAGAGAGGGAAGTTTATCTATTGGAAAGCACTACCTTTTAGAGAAAGAAATACTGGACATATTCTTTAATTTCTCAGTGGAGACACTTAACCATAGTTTAACTGGAAAACTGTGAGCACCCTAGACCAAGCCAAGTCCAAAAACACTACAGAATTCCTGGAAGCCTGGCACTCAGAGTGGCCATCAACAGCACATAGACATAAACAACATCTACATACTATTCAAAAGAGACAATCAAAAAGCCCCAAAGGAAACTAAAACACCTCCTTGCCAACAATCAACACCCAGATGAGCAGAAATTAACCCCAAGATTAACATGTGACCAATAATCAAGAAGCAAACAATATCCCAATCAAGGAACTGCCAAACAAGCTAAACAACAGCTCAATCAAGGAACCATCAAGCCCACTCCCACCAACACTGACAGGTCAAGCCACTTGAATACAAAATGAAAGCAAATTCCACTCCCTACTAGCACTGATGATATTACCTAGTTTGGTAGTGAAACATCTGCAAGAAAACAATCAAGCTCAGAGAACACCAAGGACTCCACAACTCTGGGCATAATATTACCTAAAACTGTGTTCAACAACATGGTCTCTGGTTTCCAAATTGTACTAGATTTACATAAATCTTCATTCATTTCATGTTATTAAGGACACCCATTAATAAAACTAAATCTGAAGAAAGTTATACTAGGGCGGTAATTATCTGGACAGGAAAAAAATCCAGAAAAAAAAAATTCCTTCCTTGTTACTATATAATTATTGTCTGGATTTCTGCAGCCCACAAATGGTAGGCTTAATTAATCACATATAAATCTCTGCTGCTGATTTTGAAGTGGCCATCCTTGTAGAAAGGACTTTCAAAGGGACACTTTATCCTGACTCTCTTGAACTAATCCAGAAATTAAGTTCTGCTCATTTGTGTTTGAGCGGAGACAATAATTGCATATTGCACTATAGATAGTAATTATTTCAGCACTAATGTTACCACCTACAGTATCAAGTTTTTTCTCCAAGAGATTGGTGTGCTTATCTTGAATACATTCGAGTTCTAATTAAATTATCCCTACCAGTATATTTCACTCTGTTTAATCTCATTATTCACAACCTAAAATGCCCTCTAACTGAGCAAAGGAGAATAAACCATGTGTCTGATGACAAGTTGGCTAGGAGTAGGAAGACAAGGAATTGGAAGCTTCAAACTGATCTTTAGATCAGGGGTCTCCAACCTTGGCAGCTTTAAGACTTGTGGACTTAAAGACTGAGGAACTCCCAGAATTCCTCAGCCATTAAAGAATTCTAGGAGTTGAAGTCCACAAGTCTTAAAGTTGCCAAGGTTGGCGATCCCTGCTTTAGATGATTTCTAATTGATCAGAACAGGAAAAGTAAGGACATGAGAGTGTCAGTTCTCCAAATAATGCTTATTTTAGAATTTCATGTTCTTGCTATCACTTCTTCAGCAGTGAGCAGTACTTATCAAGCCTTTAGTTCCTCATGTCTTCACATTGCAGCTAAACAGTAAAAGTCCTTGATCTGCCTTCCAAAATCCAAAATTTAAAACCTCTACTATCTCATGCATATTACTGCATTTCACAAACAAAAGAGCTGGTTAGAAAAAAGGCTTTTCCTTTTCAACACAGGACAAATCGTATAAACTATGATTTCACCCCTCAAACCTGCTACATTTATTTCCCCAAATCACAGAGGCAGTTGGATGGCAAATTATAATGAACTCCTCTTCTGCTGATTTGAAATACTAAGAACAAGTGAAAATCACCGCCATACTGAGCTACTAAGAGTTTGGCAGCAACAAAAAGGAAAACCCTAACTCAAAGCTTCCACAGCTAATTTTATGCTGAAAAAAAAGCAAAACGAGAAAAATATGTGTCAATTTTATCTCGAACTTCTTTTGTCTAGAGTACCAAAAAGTAATATAGTGATAAAGGTAATATGTCAAGTAGAGCTTACAAGACTTGAAACTCCAGAATTAGGAAAAAAGACGAAAAGTTCTTCTCATTGAACAAAACCATGCAAAGATGAACTTTGCAGCATTCACATAACACATTGAAATAGTAGCTGGAACAAAATAGCCACAGCTCTTCCACAGTATTGTAGGAGTAGAGAAGTTTAATCTTAACAGAAACCTCGAGGGAACGAAATGGAAAGGAGACATGGACGTTCTCACTTGAAGCCAGGCTTAAAAAGTTTACAAGGCCCCAATTGAAGCCAGATGTTGAAGGATCTAAAACTCATTTAACCAGGTCACATTATTTTGCCTTCCCTCTCAAAAGCTCCGGAGTCTGATTATTCTTCTAGGACATTTAGTGCAGAAGACCTGTCCTGTGTACAAGTGTGGCCAGCCAACTAAGTAATTAGAAAGCAAAGAAAATACAGAAATATGTGAAGAAGGACAACAGCGTGAAATAAACTTCTATAACAGGTTGGAAACAGAGTAGAGGAAAGGTGGAAGACATAAAAGAGATAACAAGTAAAGGCAAGCAACAGCGAGTTCCCCCATTGACACATAGTAATTAAAAAGGAATGAAATCTAAAAGATAGTGTTATTATTAGTTTATTTTTTAAAAAAGAGCAATCAGCTCTTGAAACAACTGCATAGCAAAGAAAAAAATATGCACGAGTGAGATTTAAGCTCTCTTATTATTTATTTATTTCCCATGAGCTATAACGGGAACTACAGTTCCTTAAGACACACCTGTGAGTTTTTAGAAGCTGGAGGAAATATAGAGACGTGAAACCAACATTGGATTGAAACAGACTCTAGTTAACAATTTAATGCTAGAAAATATTTTCTTCTATGCTCTAATAGCCACAGGTTCTCATGTATTTGCAAATTGGTAACCCAGGTATTCTAATAAAAGATGAAAAAACAGCAGAAAAGGGCCTACATGACCGAGTCATGAAGAAAATACGTTTTGTCTAGAGACATGAGGAAAAGTGCATTTTTTTTCAGGGGAGGACGGCACAAACCAAACAGGAACATTTACTTACCAGCTAAATGGTTGGCAATCTTGGTAATGGGCTTAGGAGGCAGGGCAGGGGGTTGTTTGAGGGAAAGCTGCTTCACTGGGGTGTCTTCGTGATCTCCAGAGAAAGCAGCAGATTTTTTAGGGGGGAGTAGCAAGACTGGTTTAGATGAAGGTTCTTGAGGGAGGTGGATTCCAGATTCACTGGACGTGGGACTCTCTTCAGACACTGGAGGACACAACCACAGCACAGACGCAATCAAGGTTACAAGCAAAGCAGCAGCAGAAAGACAAAGGCAGCACAGCAATGGCGATTGAAAAAGGTAATTAGCCATATTTTACTCAGGGGTACAAAGAAAAGAAGGAAGAAGAAAAAGAGAGAGAGAGAAATTCTGGTGCTTTCACTACAGACCTACCACTAGTACATCCCTCAGTAGCAATGATCTAGGGAGCAATTCACTGGCTTTTTTTTTCTTTTTTCTCAGCTTGCTTCTACTGAAATCAGTTTACTACATCGTACTGCATTGGTATTACTTTTAGAATCCTAGCAGTGCCTTCGATATTCCTTTTTCTAAAGTCCATGGGTTATTCAGGATGTAAAAAACTCTTTATAGAAGTATTTAACAAGTTTCTTTTTACACTGAGGTCTTTCCCACTGACCAGACTTGCAAAGTATCTTGTATGTTGCAAAGGATTTTGAGATACATTACTTGGTATATTACTTGTCTTCAAAGGCTGTAGACTAGAATATTTCTCTCATGACTGCATATTTGACTGCATATAATATGCATATTATATGACTGCATATAAGGGGGCGTGCATAAGCGCACCAACGTGCCTACCGTCCCTGTCCTATTGTTTCTCTTATTCTTTTATTTTTCTTATATTTCATGTATTCACAACTATGTATACATTTATACTTATTATCTTGTAAACAATTGGCAAATCAAATAAATAAATAAATAAATAAATAAATAAATAAATAAATAAATAAATAAATATTTCACAGAAAGACAAGAAGAAGCACAGAAGTTTCAAAAAGCTATTCTTGTTCTAATTGTTCTTCAGTGAGTCTACCTACCTACCTACCTACCTGTCACCAGCTTTCCAATTTGTTTAAAAGTTATCATCATTATTCTGTCCTGTTAAATAATCTTCCGATACATAATTTTATCTTAAAGATCCAACAGTATTTCTGCTTGGATATTGATGGTGGGAGCTTTCATTTCTCTTTTTCAACTCAGGATAGTACGTATTAATACATTGAAAAACTCATTGCTTTTGGGCTTAGCTGAACACCTTAAGCTGTACAACTGTTGCCAAAGACCAGCATGTCTTGTCAAGTTATTATAAGGATTGCTTTTGAGAAGAATAAACCCCACTGAATTTGAAAACAATCTAATTTGCCCTTTGTTTCATAAACACATCAAATTTCCTTTTCACTACATGGTACTTTGTTACCTCCATATATTGAAAAAGAGAGAGATACAGAGAGAGAGAGAAAGAGAGAGAGGGAGAGACAGAGAGAGAGAGACAGAGAGAGAGGGAGAGACAGAGAGAGAGAGACAGAGAGAGAGAGACAGAGAGATGATGATAATATCTCACTGATGACATAAGCTAAACTTTGAGTTTGTTCATGAATATGTCAAAAAAATTTTTGCAGGAATAATTCCATCATGAAATGAGTTTTCTGTATTGAAACTAGACCAGTGGAAAGACAACATTAAAGTACTATTATACAAACATGGATACTGGGTCAGATTTACATTCCAAGTATTTCTGTTGTTTATGGAAAGTCTGTCAGCCAATTTTAAAAAACAATAATCCTTTCCTCCTCTTTCATGCCCTGCTTCTTGCAAACATCTACATATTGTTCAGCCATCATACTAAGAAACACTTGTGTCACTGCTTTCTTTGCATATACTTAATTCCTTTTACAGCTTTCTAATGGAGTGATCAACACTACAACTAACCACAGTAAATTCTACAAATTAAACGTTGAAAAAATAAGTGGGTATAGTCTTTTAGTTTTCCCCAATCTGATCCAATTCAGAAGGATTTGGAGCTCAGCTCCCTGAACTGTGCCCCCCAAATAATAATAAAAAAAGTTTAGTCATTTCCCCCTTAATCTAAAAAGCTTTGTGTGTGGGTCAGTGGGCTTCCGTTGTTATCATTCTGATTGAAAAAGTTATTTCAAATTTAATTGATATAAGTAATGCAACCATTAAAACAAAAGTAATAATACTGTTTCGGCAAGTTAGTTCATTAAAGAATAATGTCACCTACTGTACAAACTCACCCACTGACATTGGCAAATCTTTTGAACGTTAATTCTTCATATTTATTAACTGTTAGAGACTGTTCATACAGATAAGATATAATCTAGAATTATATCAGTCTGGATATATTACTACTCAAGTATTACAGAAATCATTACATTATTTATTCTGGAGAACCAGTTTGATTTGGTTAATGGTACTGGGCTAGAAACCAGGAAGTTTTAATCCTGCCTGAGGCACAAAGTCAGAGGGGTGATTTTGGGGCCAGTCACATTCTCTCAACCCTAGGAAAAAGACAATGGCAAGCCAATTCTGGAAACAGTTGCTGATAAAACTGCTGGTCCATGTAATCACCAGAAGTTGACTCAAAAGATTCTTTCTAAATTATGTGACTCGTGATGGAATTGAAAAGCTACCTGTTCCATCCATGACCTCGTGATTCGGGAGTACTTCATAGCTACAGGAATCCCCAGATATTGAACATGGCTCCAATTCAGATAGGGCTTGCAGTGATACTTGGCTGGAACTCAACGCCTGTCCATTCTCCAGTGACCCTTCTTCATTCTGTATAGAAAGCTCTCCATCTAAAAGAAAGCACAGTAGCATGGGATAAAGATCACAACTGCAATTGAAAAAAATCAATGAACTTTAATAAAGAGGTTGATTGGGAAAAATGGGTTGTCCCCCCGCCAGGGTCTCATGTATTTTAACTGCAAACAACAAATTTCATAGGGAAAAACGATCCTTAATACAGAAAAGAATCCACCCAGTTATCCAAGTATATCTTGTCTAACACCAATATAGCTTTGCTTCAGATAAATTTGTAAAAATGGTATTTGGTGGTTGGGACATTCCAATGTCATGAAAGAAAGACTGGGACAGGATTTGTTCAAGGCGTTTCTTAGAGAAGGGCAGCTAGAGCTAATTTCCATGCACTCTCCAATCTCCACCCTCCAAATAGCAAGCCAAACTCTTGTTTCGGGTTTTGAGTGCAATAATGGCAGGGGTGGGGCTGCTGGGGGTTCGCAGGGGATCGGGAGAGCCCTTAGCTAAGATTCTGTGCAGTTCGGAGAACCTCCCAAATCCCACTCCTGGCTGGCCCCACCCACCCCATCCCGCCCCTCCCAGGAGTCCCCACATGACACCTTTTGGATGCAGATAATTGCAGGGCGTGCACGGAGGCTTGGGGAGGGCCAAAATGGGCCTCCCCGAAGTTCAGGAAAGTAGAAATGGGCCCCTTTCTGGCTTCCAGAGAGCCTCTGGAGACCGGGAAGGCCGTTTTCGCCATCCTGGAAGCTCGAGGAAAGCCTTCAGAGAGGCTTTCAAAAATGCCTCCCCCCCCCCGCCGTGGTGCAGGAGGCTGACTAAGCCACGCCCACCATGGCCACACCTGTCCAGCAACTGGGCAGAGAACCCTTTGCTAAAATTTTTGAAGCCAACCTCTGAATAACGGTCCCACTTGAACGCTTCCGTACAATAATCTACAGTCTGGAATGTAGTACTTTCTGATTTGCAAGTTTTGGCACATCTCCTGCACAGGTTGTTGATTGGTACATCAGCACAGAATGTTTGAGACACCCCTATTTCATTTCATTTCCACTGAAAGTCTCTATTTGCTCATAAATTAACATTTATGAAGTCTTGGGGAAAATCTTGGAACTGATATCAATATTACGTAAACACAAATAGAAAACACTACTTAATTAATTATAATTATCAGGGATTTAAATAATAACAATATATTATAATCATTAATAATTAATAACTAATTACAATTAATTCAATTACAAGAAACAATGTGCAACTAATCAGGGAATTGTCTAAAACTAATCTATGCTTGTTGGCCCCAATGAAAATACAAGTTAGAAATTGCCCAGGCTTCATTATTTATAAACCCAGGTATATAAACAGCAGCAATTTGGTTTGCCAAAAGTTTTAATACTTCATTAGAATTTTGGGATGATTTTTATGACCAATATGAATATCTTTGCTTTTGAATTATCTAGGAAATTTCTTTCTCTCTGTGTGTGTTTCTGTCTGTCTGTCTGTCTGTCTGTCTGTCTGTCTGTCTGTCTGTGTGTGTGTGTGTGTGTTATCCAAGAACTTGCCTTTCCAGGCAATGATTGAATGTTACTTGAAGGGAGGGATACCTTTTTTCAGCTTTTTTTTTTCAGAAGGAAAGAAGGAGACTACAATTTACCCAACTTCAAAGGGTTTGTTTTGTTTTTTTGAGAGAGAGAAAGTTTGGAAATGATGCTAGATAGAAATGCTCCTAATCAGAGTTTAGAGGGACTTAAGTTTTAGATAAACTTCCTTAAGTTTATCTTCACACTTCCCCCTAGGCCTGACTGAAATCAATGAGACTTATATTCAACCAAACATGCACCTGATTGTGTTGTCTGGTAAACAATTACATAAAAGCAAAACTGTAAAGCCAATCATAATTGTATTACTGCTTTCCATTTCTAAAAGATATATAAAACATGCACCTGATTGTGTTGTCTGATAAACAATTACATAAAAGCAAAACTGTAAAGCCAATCATAATTGTATTACTGCCTTCCATTTCTAAAAGATATATAAAATAACAGTACAAAATGCATCAGTTGAGAACTGCAGAGTCAAATGCACTGAATATTGCTAAGTCAAATGAAAGACATTTGAACAGCATATATAAATGTTAAATTTGAATACTGCGTAGTCTCTTCATTAATATTTCACTGAACAGAAGGATTTAAGATCAAGCTGCTTCCTGTCATCTGTTGAGTTAGATGGTTGGAAAGTATACAAGAGATAAAAAAAAACCTAAATAACTTTAATCTTTTTTTTTTAATCAAACAGCAAACTTGTAACTATACAGAACAAATTACTATAAAGTGTTGTGTTTTTCTTTAATGGGCTTAGAAAAACGTTGCCCTTTTTTAGTACGGTATTCTAATTCTAAATTTATTATCCATTTTTCATGAAATGATCTGTTAATTGCTTTTACTTACTGATGTATTTCTGGGCTTCAAAATTGGGCCCAAAGAATCATACAGTTAAAAGAGTCTTTATAATTTAGCACCACAAAAAGCCATGGTAGATACAACCCAGATGTTTTTTTTTGCTTATGTCACAAATGTTATTTTCTGACAATAAAGTAGGCTTCCAATTAGTAACCATTTTAGGTTTTGTTGCTTTCTCTTTTTTTTAGCAAATACTTAAATTCCACCAACAAAGAGACTGGAGATTACTTGTGCTTAAAAATGGTGATTCATTTTATGAAGAAGGTCTGAAGATTTGATGTGCATTAGGTGATATAGGGACAATTTTTTCAGGTGACTTCTTAATAACCTCAGGAATTGGGTACCTCAAAAAGCAATCCAGTTTATGAGCATCTAAAATCCATTTTTTTCACAATGAAATATTTCACCTGAATATTTTGTAACACTGAACATCTGAAACTTGAATAGGATTTTATGGTCTCTATGGTTGCCCTTTCTTGTAAAAATGTGAACAGAGCTTCTCTCTCTCTTTTAATGCTGTAAAATATGGATAATTGAGCTAGAAAATATTCCAACACCAATCAAATAATTTTTTTTAATTTTAATACAAAAGCTGCACCTGAGTGTATTTGAATTTATTGTTTATTGTATTGGTAGTTTGGAGTCCAGCTATTAAAAAAATCCAGATCCAAGTCCTGGATTTGCTACATGAAATTCTTGCAAAAACAAACAATATTATCCACTCTCCCCCATTCAATTCCCACTGTGAGTTGACGGTGTTTCTTACCTTTATCAAATATTTCCTTCAGAACTCCTCTCTTGATAAGTTCCTCTCTGCTTTGCCTCATTGATATTTTTCTTTCAAGTGCTAGCAAAAGGGGGAAAATACAAGTTGAAATAATAAACTCAAAAAATATTAAGAAACTGTAGCAAAATCTTTTCATCCCTTGAAGTACTTGTATAATCCTGAAGACCTGAAGAAACCCAAATCATTGAAATGTTTTTACATCTTCTATTTTTGCCAATATTTTTAACTTTATCAAAAAGGTATCTGCCCTTATTGTCCTATTTATTGATTTTACATCTGACTTTAATGTTAAGATTTCTGATTGGTGTGGTGATGAGCTGAATTTATGAATTTCCAAGGAGATCATCTGATCTTTTGATTGTTTGATTGCTTAATTAGTAAGCAGAAAACTTCTTTTGTTTTTCTTTGACTAAATTACAGCTTTGTAGTGGCTTTCATTAGATTAATTACAGGTTTGAAATCAGGAAGGCAGGGTTTAAAAACAGGAATCACTTCCTCCTCTTCAAAGGGACAGCAGCTTCTTCAGACTGTTGAAGAACAGTTGAGAGATTGAGCTGGTGATGAATTTATTCCCTGATTCAAAATGAAAAGAACACAGAGAGAGAAAGCCAACAACTTTAAAGGCTCTCTCTCATGGATTATGGATTTTTTTAGAACTCTCTTTACACATATGTATCTGAGAATTAAAGCTTTTTGGAGCTAAAATAAAGACTTGATGCTTTCAGTCAAAAAATATTGGAGTTGAATTTTGTAGTAATCGATTCAATTGAGACAAAAGTTGCTGAGCTTAGTGAGGAGAAAGACCTGGTAAATTATTAGTTTCTCAACTGAAACTCCAGTAACAATAACACAGTAATATTATTTTGACTACCAAGAATAGACAAATAATTCAGCACAAATAATGATTCTATTTTAATAAACCAATTAATCATAAATCAGTTCTAATTTTTAATGCTTAAATTTCCAATTCTGAATCCAAAGAAAATCATTAAGGATAATTAATGATTTAAAATAATAACAACAACAGCAACAGCAATAATAATAATAATAATAATAATGCTGTGCCTAAAGACCTAGGCAAGCACTTAAAAACAATTGGCGCTGACAAGATCACCATTGGTCAGCTGCAGAAGGCCACCTTACTGGGATCTGCTCACATAATCTGTCGATACATCACATAGTCCTAAACACTTGGGAAGTGTTCGACTAGTGATTTGTGATACGAAACCCAGCATGGTTATCTTGTCTGCTGTGTATACTTGTCATTTTTGTGTGCAATAATAATAATATGGTTCTTCTGAAGATAAATAGGAAGCTGCTTATGTCTATCTATTCAGGAAATAGGCTTTTGTGAGTTTTTTAAAAATTGGATCAAAATGTGGTATTTCAATCCTTTGACCAGCATTTTTTCATAATATCTTGATTTCTCTTCCAATCATCACTTTACCGCTTAAGTTGACCCATTCTATTTCTCAAGAAATACTTTGATTAACTCATATAGTGAACCTGACCTTGGAATTCCTGCTCTGTTTTAATAAGGATACTCTAGGAATAAAATTTCAGTTGGAATTATATGTGGATGATACTTTATATATTACTTATCATTATGAATATTTATGCCAAAATTTATTAATATTATGTAATACTTTTATAACCTCTATTAGGTGTCATTCTTCCGAAATAGACCCAGAAGGGAAAAACGATCAATTTTCCCCTTCTGGTCTATTTTATTGTAAAACTTCTAATTCAATTTTATTGTAAAACTACATTAACAGAATCTTGCAAGTCTGCAAGTACAAATCTCTCCCTGTCTCCTTTACAGTCTGAAAAGCTAGGGAGGGTTCCTTCTCAGCCAGGGGTGGGATTCTACCGATTTGGACTGGTTCTATAGAACTGGTTGTTACGATTCTGCGCAGTTTGGAGAACCAGCAAATGGTGTCCCTGGCTGGCCCTGCCCCTCTCCACCCGCTCCTCACCTCCCTGCCTAGTCACTCCTTATCAGGCATGCATGACAACGCTGACTGCATTCTCCCTGCCCAGTCACTCCTTAAGGTATTTCTTTTTTCCCCCTCCCGACAATCAGCTGTTCCGATAATCAGCTGCACTGGGATCCCCCTCGCTGTCGTACTGCTTCACCCAGGAGGCTTCCCTGAGGCCCAGAAGGCAAAAAAGGGGCAAGCACAGGGGTGGTGATGGTGCTGCACCCCTCCGCGCTCCATTTTTTTGCCTTTTTGGGCCTCAGGGAAGCCTTCTGGGAGCAAAAACGCCCCCCCAGGTGGCTTCCCTGAGGCCCAGGAAGCCAAAAAATGGAGCATGGGGGGGGGGCTGCACGTCCTCCCTGCACTCCATTTTTTGCCTTCCTGGGCCTCAAGGAAGCTTCCTGGGAGCAAAAGCTGAGGCTTCCCTGAGGCCCAGGAGGTAAAAAAAACAAAAACAGAGCGTGTGGGAGGGGAAGAGTGCTGCAAAAAAGAAGAAGCCATGCCCACCCAGGCACATGGCCACACCCACCTAGCCATGCCCACCTAGCTACACCCACAAAACTGGTTGTTAAAAAATTTGAATCTCACCCCTGCCTATTATGCAGCTGCAGGCTTTGTCTTCTCTTATATGACCATTCCATTTGCAGCATTTTTTGCCCCCTGCGTCTCAAGGTCTTGTGCACATACCACCACCCCAAGTTATTCAATTCAATATAGAATGTTTGAAATACGCTCTATGAGCTCTGGATATCCAGAGGAGTTATGGTGAACCTTTGAGGAAAACTCTGCAAAAGTGGAATCAACATCATGGCAAGCAGCAAGGAACCAATGAGCATAATGGTTCCATAGAATGTCTCAGGAAAAGGGGGGATGGAACCCCTCCCCATGTATTCTGGACCATTGTTCCAAATGAGCAGACCTCAGGACTTCAGCTTTTTGCCAATTTGAGTACCGGGAGATGACCTGATTAAGCATCTTGCTTGCAACCATAGTGGACACTTAAGCACACTAAGTTTGCAAACCTCACTTTCTAATCAACTCATTTGTTGATTAACTATTTCTAAGATATTAAAGACCTTTGGAATGACAACTTTGAAAATACTGGATGTGCCTGCCTTTAATTCTGAATGAAAGAACATTTTAATTGTAAACATAAGAATTCAAAGAATCTGAAATAAGTAGCAATCATGCAAGAAGCATTATAGACACAATTAGATAGTTATATATATTATTTAAATACACTTTATTGATTTTACAATTAAAGTAGACCAACAACACACACATAAATGCAAGAGAGAAAAAGAAGACAAGAGAAGAAAAAAAAGAATAGAAAGAAAAAGATAGAAAACAGTTAAAAACATTTTCATCTTCAACAATTTGTGAGATCTCCCTTTTATCCTTATTTTATACCATATGCACAATTAATCCTTACATATATCTGTATATCACTACTATGATTCTATCATATCTTCTTTTGCCTTTTAGTGTGAATCTTTGATCAATCCATTTGTACCAGCTGTTCCAGCTGTCGTAATATATTGAAGTGTCTTTATCTTTTAACGCCAAGTTTAATTTGTCCATTTCTGCACAACTTGAATTTTTTTGAATAATCATCTCCTCTTAATTAGATAGTTATATTAATTATCTAATTAGATAGTTATATTAATCTAGCCCCTCTGATATCATGGCAGGCACTTAGTTTCCTCTTCATTACAACAATAATTCTACTGTGATTCTAGTATTAAAAGCAACAAGGTATATCTAAAAAGTCTTGGACAGAAATCAAAGGTTGGTCATTATTCACATGATAAACTTACATTTTGGGACACTATAGTTTGAAGCTTCCATGTAAATAGAGGAGTTAATAATAGACAAGGCACTTACATGTATGATGTGGTATTTTTTTTTTGGCTTTCAAATCCTTGTATTTGTTAATATGGTTTGGGGAACATTAATATGGCTTGAAGATAGGAAGGTGATTTTGAATTATATATTTAAAAGTGGGATTTATCATTATATGGAAAACTATGGATTCATCAGGTAGGAGGTAGAACAAGAATTATATTTTTTTAACAGTGAAAAAGAGCACCTACGCAGACTTGCAGAAATAACCTGGGAAATCTCTCTCAGCAGCTGTGCTGAGCTTTGCAGGGGTAGCAGGAGCGAAACTTTGCTCCTATCATCATGCATTGTAAGCACTTTTCAAATGCTTTCCAGGCCTTACTATAAGTTTCCTTCTTTGAGAGAATTGAATTTTAAAAGAGAATTTTTCAAATTGCCACCTTTGTGATTCTGTAGTTATATTTTGTATAATTTTTATTTCATAGGAAAAAGTCTATAAATGTCGATTTTCCCTCAGGCATTAAATGTCAAATAAGGTCACAGTTTAGTTGTTATTGTAGTATATACCTGCTGGTGCCAGTTCACATCAAAGGATTTAAAAAAAAATCAGTGACCTTTCAGGAAATTTGCAAATCTCTTTATTTCCTGTTCATTGCAAGAGATAATTACACATGCTGTTCAAAGGGTTTCTTAAGATGTCAGGCCTGCTAAATCTATCACTGAAGTATTGAGTCCCACTGAGAAACAGGTGCATAGCTTCTGTGATTCTGTCAGGCATCAATAGCTATTTTGATTTTTCACTCTTTCATCAAGAAAACCAGCACCACACATAACATCTAAATTTGAGTGTGGGATAGTTGTTACTATCATAGCTGTAAACTACATAGTGCCATGAATAAATCCTTTTAGCTCTCTTAAAGTCTTTTACTTTAATGTTATTGTCCTATTGTCTTTCTTAAAGTTTAACAAATCCAGCCACGTTTCATTTCCTTGATCGTTTTTAAATCTCTCATATCAACACACCTCTTCAGCCTGATTCTGTTGATCTTCATATGATTTTGCTTCCTTCATTTGCTTCTGTTAAATATTTACCCAGACAGACCTTCTAAGGCAGGGGTGTCAAACTTGTGGCCTGCGGGCCGGATGCATCACATGCTGGCTCCGCCCCTGCCCAGTTTAGCAAAGGGGGAAAAAGTCCTGATACGTCATGTGACACCGTGATGACGACCCGAGTTTGAC